GGGGGGGGGGGGGGGGATGTTTCAAATTCTGACGCTGGACGAAGGGGGTTCTCCAAAAACTGTTGACACTCGTCATTTTGCTTCGCACAAGTTATGTACATTGAACTATATAAGTAAACTGACATTATAAATCAGGTGGGGAAATTGAAGTCGTGCTTTGTACGTAGTGCTAGTCCCTTTTTGCATTTTATTTTGAAAAATACACTATTTATATCGACACATTTTACCCCTTTAATTTCCTTTCCCCTTTCCTTTTTCAATTTAGAGCATACTAGCTAAGACAGTTAAAGTTTTAAAAATTTAACTCAAGTACGTACAAATAATAAACAAAAATCGTTCAACTGCTAAAATATTACAGGGCCAGAACCAAATTTGTCAAAACCGCGCCAAAATGTTCAGTGGTTCTTCCCAAGTTAAGTGGCTTTCCAGAAAGAGTTGGGAGACATTCCAGGTGATCTCGTGTTCGTATTTTAGCCAATCAGCGCTCAGAAAGGGTTGTCCGAATAGAAATCTATTTTGATGTATTCAGTCAATTATATCTTTCGTTATTCTTTATGAAACTAGTTGAAATTTTGTAATTATGTTTGGTTATGAGAACTATAGCTCTGACAAAAATATGGAATCGAAATAAAGTATATTACAGGAGATATTCAGTTGTTTTAATCACAAAATGGATTTCCATTTGACAACTAGTGCCAGTACTTTTCCGCGTATCAAGATCATCTGGTTATAATACAATTTATGTGGAGTAATATTCGATGCATCTGCAAATTTCTTTTGAACTGCCGACCACTTACTTTCAACAGTTAAAAAAGGATTATTAAAGTTAGCTTGGCTGCCATATATTCAAAGTGTTCATAATGGCCAACAAGAAGATGTGATGACGAAAATAACATCACTTGAAAAAGTCAATTTAGTCATGATATAGAAGGAATAAAACAAGAAGTAAACGCTCAGGATAAATACAGATGTAGTACAAAATAAGTTTTGGGACTGTCAAAATGTTTTATGGTATATTTCGCAACGTCCAAACATTCGTCATTTTTCAAAATACAAAAGCAAAACTCCTTCCTTTTTTGCTGCAGAGAGACGTAAAACAGACGGAACTAATCGGAAAACCAGATTTGAATCTCAGTCATTGTAGTATTCTCATGGAAAAAGGTGTTTTTCTTGCAACAAATAAAAACAAGCTTTTCAGTTTTGCCGAATTTCACTCGTCGAAACTCTCCTTAGTCCTTTTCGTCGCGCGTTGGCATCAACGAATCATAGGCCTTCCTCATAGGAGTTAACCTTCAAGTTTATTTATAGTTCAATGGTTGTGTATTTGAATTATTTTAATGTATTTGATTCCATCGGTCTCAGTATGAAAATCATAGTTAATAAGCTACGATTACGACGCGTGCTTATCCGGGAAATGCTAGAAAACTTCAGACGAGAGAGATACAACTACATGCAAAATCCCCCAAAAAATTCGACATTTCAAGCGAAGGCCTTGGTCGGCAAGTAAAAGAAACCTTACGATTTTAGGAAGCAACGCGACGACAACGGCTACCAATACAATAGATCATTGAAAAGAATTGAGTAAATACAATATATGAATAATTTAGACATTGTCCTCGCTCTGTTTACAACGCCAAATCACAGATTTTCACGTCTTGATACAACGGCTACATTCCAAGCCGAACAAGTGCAAGTGCAACTTTACACTGGGTGTAGCAGAACTCTTCCAACCATAAAACCCATGTCTTCAACTTCTTAAACTGTATTAAATTCATACGATTGATAGTATACCACGAACTATTATTACTACCATTTATTTGAAGAAGTTTGTTTTGGCCGTCGCCATCGCGTTGCCGTTTTAAAATCGTAAGGTTTCTAATAAGCCTTCTTTGTCGGGAAGTTAGTTCAACGAAGGGCCTTTGACCGAAACGTCGAAGTTTTACTCGCATTTCTCATGTCGTAGATATAGCTGAATTCCTATCAATCACCATTTTCACTCCTTACGCTGGCACAGACCGTTCGAGTTATTATCCGGAAAATGTATGGCATTCGGATAATAATTATTGCTCGGGGGGGGGGGTTAAATTACTCCCCCTGATTTCTACAAAGTATTTCTCACTAAGTATTATATAACAGCTAATTCACCATTCTTGGTAATTCCTTAATACGGAGTTTCTACTGTCAGGACATGAGCGATAATGTACAAATTTAGAAAAGCAAGAACACAAGTAATGAAACACAATAAAACAATGCTTCAAACGATGTTTGTTTTTAACTATATAACAAATAACGATAGCTACATATGTTAAAACAGTTCTATGTTCAAGCTGCTCTAAAATGTGACATGAATTATCAGTTACGTTATAGTAGTTGTACGAAAATAAAAAGCTAAGGCTACGGCTTTACAAATTGAAAGATTTCAATACTTCGCGTATCACATACGAGTATACAAAAGCTATTCTATATAGATCATACCAACGTAATGATTATTATCTAGTTTGCAATGTATAAGAAAAAAAGTTTCAGGCTTACTCAATTTGTGCGGAAATAAAGAGACAGGCCAATACCGGGGCGAGGTACTTGACAATGATTATCATACAGAGTGTCAACGCCATATTGGTTTGCCGGACCATAGGTGGTGTCGTGGGATGCACGGCACATGCCATGGCCGATATTCAAAGTTGTTAAACAATCACAATTATCATCATCAAGAAGAATTGACTTTACTCCATTTTGTTCACGGTACATGAAGGAATCTTGTTGTGCTTTTGGAGCGGTTCCAGAAAGGGTCACCGGGTTCCATGGCTTGCTATTTGCCACTTTGCCGGCGGGTGTCGTAACGTGATCGTGGAACATGGCCACATGTGCCATACGCATGACCAATGACGTCATTCTCATCCGAAGCAGCTGGCCACTTAGCATTGGCAGACCACCACCAGAAAGCAAGCCAATTTCCACCATGCGTGCACAGGGTCATGGGACGGGATGTTGAGAAGTAAAGTGTCAAACCAACCGAAGGACGAGGTGTATTGCAATGATGATCATACAACGCATCAACACCATACCTGAGAAAGAATATTGCACTTAATAACTTGATTATTACGTTTCCAGAAACTCATTACAAACAGAACAATTTTTGTGTTAGGCAAGCGACGCCTTTATTTCAACTGTATGTACCGCTTCTATTAATCATAATCAGTGGCGTAGCCAAGGGGGAGGGGGCAAAGAGGCTCTGGGTACACCGCCCCCACTCTATGGGCAAAGGGACTGCCCTTGTGAAAAGCTGAAATCCGGAAAGAAATGAGGGTACAATGTGTGAGTAATGATACTCATTAATAATGTGATACATTTCTGAATAGTTTCAGCCCTTCAGAAGAAATGTTAGTCATTATTCGAGTTCTTTTTATATGACAAACCTGGAAAGATAGATTTCCATGCCTTTTCTGAAGGATTTGTAATTTTTAGCCATTTAACTCCGTAAACGGCTAAAAAATTTAGATTGTTAGATGCGATAAAAACAAACATCCTGAAACAGGTTACGAAGTTGCATACCAAATTGGGAACAACTTGACACTGACATCATCGTTCTTGAATTTGATTGGATAAAATATGACGAACAAAGAAAACCTGTCAATCACGTTAGTTTCTTAACCATCTAAATTTTTATCTGCCACAAACAAGAAAGCTGTTTTGAGTTGATTATATGAAATATATTAAAAAGCTATTAAAAAGATGAATTAAGTGAAGAAATAGTTACCCTGGTTACAGAGGTTTAAAATAAACCTCACGTTGAAAGCGGCAATTGATTCATCGAGCCGCGCCAATCAGTTAAATTAGGGTCAGATCCTGACTCTGTCTCCTGATTGGATGATTGTATTAACGTTCTCTGATTGGTTATGGATGTTTTATTTGAATCAATCAGAGAGCTTTAATACAATCATCCAATCAGGAGACAGAGTCAGGATCTGACCCTAAATCAAACTGATTGGCGCGGCTCGATGAATCAATTGCTACTTTCAACCAGAGGTTTATTTTTCCTCTCCCCTTCGCAATGAAAATAATAAAAATAAACCTCTGGAACCAGGGTAAGAAATAGTATACCTAAACACAGATTTCTTCAACTATTCAACGTTGTAACCACAAATTTGGAAAATACTTTCAAATTGGCTATTCTGCAAGCGGGAAATGAAGTTTTAGGCGCAACAATGACTGAATCTCTGTCCAGCCTAATATATCAAGTCTAAATTTTCCATTTTTTTCAAAAATGTGCATGTTTATTGTCGTATGATTTGCTTTCCTCGAAAAGCTACTTCTTGACATTTGGAATGTTCAGTTGGGTTATAGCTTTTCTTTATGCTGTTTTGCCCAACAAATTTATTTTCAATTTATTTTCTCAACTCGTATATCGAGTAATAATGACACATACAAAAAATAAACTAGCAACCAACCTTTTCACTGGTCCATATGAAGTACTAAATGTTGTTCCACACAACCCGTGTCCCATGCTTAACGTAGAGAGACAGTCACAGTTATCGTCATCCAGTAAGAATGATTTTACACCTTAACGAGTCTTGGTCCTGAAACGAGTCTTGGTCCTGAAATAAAAAAAAATGTTGCAAAAACAAAACAAAAACAAGTTGAAGGACAATTGCAACAAAAATATTTATTGTCTTTAATATTTGAACGAACGATAAAAGTTTTGTTACACATTTTTCATATCTTGCTTGATTCTTGAAATATTTCAACCGAAATTAAAAAAGAATGCGCTGTTCGCCATCTTGGATCATTGAAGATATGCGTTGTCTTGATTGCGTCGCAAGTTAGTCCGTGTGTTGTGACCTTGAAAAGTGCCTAGAAAACGATTTCATGATGCATGTCTTAGATCTGAAATACTTTTACGGGAACTAACACTTTCGAACGCGCTGATTTCAAATCCGTAAAGTTCCCACTCCGTAGACCCGCAGTTTGTTCACAAAATGCTATTTTATCTTCACTAATTTCACAACAATTTTTTCATTGTTCAACGACACGGATCGATGACGATACACGATTATGTCACTCAAAAGAAACAATTTCTATTAACCATTCTTCCTTTAATAAACAAAAGACCGGTTTTGCTCGAATCATTCTGAGTTATGCAATTTTATGCGTGTTGGACGTAAACAACATATCTTGTCTACAACTTTGAGAAGGTACAGATAATTCCTTCTAAAATCCTTAGTTCTGGATCTATCTCTATAAAATCACAAGGACGTTAATGTCAAGTCTTTGTGCTATGTCCCTGGGATGAGAAATAATTCCTTACATGCGATCAAAATGTTTTATACAAAGATATAAGACAGTAATCTACAGTATATGTAATGGATCAGCATTGAAATTTCCAACACGGTTTCCGAAACGTAATTCAAGATTAACTTATCATTGCATTTGAACTATTACATCAGTTGGTGTTATACTGTGCGATAAGCGAATATTATTGGAAAGAGGGCTTCTAGATTTATATACGTTGAAATCATCAAATAAACAGCTCATGCACACATTTCTGCACTTTGTGGTAAGTTTACATATTTTATACTTTGGGACTGATTTTTGTCTTTGATGTGAACATTTATTATCATAGTTTAAGGTTATTTAAGATTGATCCTGTCCTAAGTCTTCTAGCAGCAACCATTCGACAATATTTCATTTTAGCGCTGTCTTTGCCGTTACGTTGGCTTCGTGTTACTTTTGTTTAAAATAACTTGATCGCGTTAAAAGAGTTATTTTTCAGGCCAGTGACATAGCTAAAAGACTTTGCATTAATGTCCTTGTGATTTTATAGAGATATCTCTAGAACTGATGATTATAGAAAGCGTTATCTGTGTCTTCTCAAAGTTGTAGACAAGATATGTTGTTTACGTCCAACACGCATAAGATTGCATAAATCAAAATGATTCGAGCAAAACCGATCTTTTGTTAAAAGGAATAATGGTTAATAGGGACTGGTCTTTTGAGTGACATAATCGTGTATCGTCGTCGATCCGTATCGTTGAACAATGAAAAAATTTGTTGTGAAATTAGTGAAGATAAAATAGCATTTTGTGAAAAAACTGCTGGTCTACGGAGTGGGAACTTTTCGGATTTGAACTCAGCGTGTTCGAAAGTGTTAGTTCCCGTAAAAATATTTCAGATCTAAGACATGCATCATGAAAGTGAACGATATCGGGTCACAACACGCGGACTAAGTGAGGTCACGCAAGTTTTGAATTTTGACAGCCTGTGATCAATATGAACCCGAAACTTGTTTTTGGTTGCTATTTCAAATGTCGAATTGAAAAAAACATTTTTAAACAACTTTTGATTTGCTTGTGATGTTACTCTGAGTGTATATCCACACTGGGCAGGCTTGAAAAATATGCCTGGCCACGGTGGGAATCGATCTACGACTTTTGGAATACTAGCCCAATGCTCTGCCAACTGAGCTACGTGGTCAGATCGGTTCGAGTATGTGATATTTCGGAACTGAGTCTAGTTCCTTCGATATCAGTGTAATCTAAAAATCATGAACCTTGTTGTATTGTGTACTCAGGTGAATAAAATGCTTGTGATGTTACTCTGAGTGCATATCCACACCGGGCAGGCTTGAAAAATATGGCTGGCCACAGTGGGAATCGAACCTACGACTTTTGGAATACTAGCCCAATTGGCAGAGCATTAGAATACTAGCTCAGTTGGCAGAGCATTGGGCTAGTATTCCAAAGGTCGTAGATTCGATTCCCACCGTGGCCAGGCATATTTTTCAAGCCTGCCCGGTGTGGATATACACTCAGAGTAACATTACAAGCATCTTATTCACCTGAGTACAAAACACAACAAGTATCAACTTTTGATTGTTACCATGTAAGTTAGAATTCATTTTATGCGGCTAACTCGATCTACTCCTGAGGTTAAGGATTATTCCAAAATAGAGGACAGCTCTTTGCTTTCAGTCAAAATATTTCAAGAGTTAAGCTTGAAAGGAAAAATCTTTAACAAGATTTTATAGATAATTTTAAACGTTCTTTGTTATGAGACAGTTAAAAAAATAATGTCTGTAATTTTATTTCTGTGATGTATGATCTTCGTCGGCCCCAGGTATAAACTGTAAAGAATTTTGCGAAAAATTCTCAGTAATGACATGTTCCACTAAACTTTACATCAACTATTTTATCGACCTTTTCACTAATTGCCAGGGGCCGGTTGTTCAAAGGCGGATTAGAGCTAATCCAGGTTTAAAATTGACATATTTCTGAATGTCCATTTATTTCAAAATGTCAGAAACGAAAACTTCTATTGACACCGACATGATTTGTAAAGAAATATTTCCAAATTTTTAAACTAACTGTCAGGAAGTTTCCTTTGAATTTTAAGTTAACCTAGGTTTAAGCTAATCGGCTTTTGAACAACCGGCCCCTGATTTTTAAGTAGAATTGCCCGATTTTTCCGTATAATCTGCTCGATTTAAAATGAGTGGAGGTGAGGCAGCGATGGTTTTGGACATATTGGAATGTAATTTCCGACCAAAATCACAAAAATTTGGCTGGGAAATTTGTTGTATTTACTATTATAGGATCTCTATCTGGTCATCTAGTCCAGAGCACAATTTTCAACGAGTGATCGAGTAAAAAGCGCTCTTACCCAAATGTTTTACAAATTCCGCCACATGCTTCACAAAACGCAGCCAATTTAGAATCCCGCATGGACGTACCTCAATTTCTATAATCCCTTCGTTTAAATAAGTTAAAGGAAGTAAACTCTTTGTACCCACCTTCTTCGGTTTTATCCCTTTCTTCACTTGAGGGTTCCATGCTCTATTATTTTGGATTTTAGTCGCCAAAGTAATTTGATGATCATGAAGTGCTTGCCAGGCCGCGTGTGCTGTTGGATTACTGGAACTGAATTTCCAAATGTAGGTATTACCAGCGGTATCTACTGCTAAAAGATGCGTAAAATCTTCTACTGCCCATTTTGGTAATCGCTGGAAGCAATACACGTCGTATTCTTTGGAATGTCCATATTCGTACCCTAAGACGTCGTTTTCAGTTTTCGGCCACGTTGCATCTTTTGTCCACCACCAAAACGCCGTCCATTCCATGCCATATGCCGTAAATGACATTTCGTTTTCAGTTCGATAATATAAGCGAAGTCCATTGGAAGGCTTAGGAACACCACAGGTTGGGTCATAAAGATTGTCCACACCGTAGTCGTTCCCTTTCCCAGCACCTGCACCGCACAATGATCCTCCGATATTTAAAGTAGATATACAGTCACAGTTATCATCATCAAGCAGGACTGATTTAGTAGATCCTTGAGTACGATACATGAATGAGTCTTGATTTATACTTATAGAGTTTCCCTTAAGAACAACTGGGTTCCAGGGTGACGCATTTTTGACAGAGGCAGCGGCTGTATCAATATGGCTGTGAAACGCCTGCCAAGCTGCATGCGAAGTCGCATTTCCAGAGTTGAATTTCCATTTATAAACATTTCCAGCACTATCCGTAGCTAGTATCTCCGTCTTGTCCTCGTATGCCCATGCTGGTAGTCGTTGGAAACAATAAGCATCGCTACCATAAAATGAGATAAAGAACATTATTTCGCGATATCAAAGTCTATCAAGATAATGATGGTCCGCATGAAACTTAACAGAAGTCATTGTATTATGTTTTTGTTTGAGGTTATGTTAATTTGTGCACGGTCAAGGTGATTGAGCTCATATATTTTAGAACAATGAAATAATCGTCCAATAAGGATAGCTGAGATGAAACCTGCAACTACGACGAACAATACTTAATGAAGTTGAGACAAAGGATTTGTGTACGGTACGGTAACAGTTCAACATATAAAAGGCCTTCTATTTCCAGGGCCGCCGGGAGGTTGTCGGGGGTCCGGGGCAAAATATTTCTAGAGGCCCTATCTATCGGAGAACAACCTCTCCCCCGTCGAAAACTTTTTAGGTAAAAAAATTTTCCGGACGAGTACGTTGCAATTGCTTTCCAGGGACTTTATCTCATTTTTTTTGTGCCAAATTTCGGTACTTAGCCAAAAAACAGATATCTTGTCCTTTGCGCCGAAATGTTTAACACACAAAAAAGACTGGGGTCCAAGAAAAATTTTTCAGGGGCCCCCAGCAACTCGGGGTCCGGAGCAATTTGATCCACCCGCTGCCCCCCTCTCTGCGGCCCTGTCTATTTCGTATCTTTG